CCTGTCCTGCGGTGCCTGGGTGTGGGCAGGGCCTTGGGTGCAGCCTCCTAGGTCCCAGAGCAGCCTCTAGCCCAAGTCCCTGGCCAAGTCCCTGGCTCTTGGAGAGCAGGAGCTCTTGGAGAGCGGAGGGGGCACCCACTCCAAAGCACGGCAGGTCAGACGGCAGGGAGAGGGTGAGAGGACAGGCTCTCAGTCACACACAATCCTCAGCCTCAGTTTCCTCACCTGTAAAATGGGCGCAAGCACCACTGTGCTGTGCGGTGTTGCCAGAGGGAGGCAGGTGCCGTCCCAGGGCCAGGCTCATGACAGAAGTGTTGTCATCCTGCCCAACCTCGAGCCTGGGCTGGCCCTGGGAACCCTGCAGCTGCAGGGACCAGGCCCTGTATCCAAACTAGGGTTGGACCTCTCCCCAACCTCCCTGGGGCTCAGGTTCTACCACCTGGGATGCCCCTACCCTGGCTTCCCCAGGCCTGTGTCTCCCCCAGCCACCTCCATACAGCCCTGCGCCAGGTGAGGACCTGGGTGCTGATCACCATGGCCATGAGATGAAACCCCTGCCCTCAACAGTGACTGGCAGCACTCAGCCAGGCCGTGAACATGACACTCATAAAGTCTTAGCGGGCTGGGGTTCGGGAACTGCCAGGGCCTGAGGGTAGACTCTAGTGGGGACAGGAGAGCAGGGCAGCTTGCCAGGGCAGGCCATGGTGAGGGGCTGAGGGTATGGGAGAGCTGGCTCCAGAAAGCCACAGGATGCCTCCGGAGCAGGGATCACAGGCTTGGATGATCGCAGCCGCCCTCTGGCTGCGAGAAGCTGGCTGGAGGAGGGTCACAGACCTGGACGGGGCGGCCGCCCTCTGGCTGCAAGAAGCTGGCCAGAGGTAGCCAGTCTGGCAGAGCCCTTCTACCCCAACGCCGGGATCCCCACCCTGTCCTCCCATCCCCACGCTGGGATCCCCACGCTGTCCCCTCCATCCCCACACCGGGACCCCCATGCTGTCCCTTGCATCCCAGGGGAGCCAGCTTGTCCTCACTGGCCCAACTCTCCCTCGCACATGGGAGGGGACAGCAGGTCCGGGCAGGGCAAGTGCTCCCCCTCCCCCGCATAGATGTGGGGGGCCTGGAGTGAGCCCAGGTAGAAACGTCAGTGCTGGGGTGGTCAGCGGGCCTGTGGAGGACAGGTCAAGAGGCCGTTTTAGCCACTGAGGAAACCGAGGCCAGGAGAGGAAGGAATTGCTGAGAGATCTGGGAGGAAGCGGCGGGTCCCGGGCAGGCATCACAGGAAGGATGGAGCTGGGGCTGCAGCACTTCTGAGGGCACTCAGGGTGGGTGGAGGCTGGTGGGATCTCTGTCCCTCAAACAGATGTGGTCCCAGCTCCTGCTCACTCCCAGCAGCACCAGCGAATCCTGAGACCTCAGAGGGGATGAAGGGGACAGGGGGGCAGCCAGCAGGATGTAGGAAGCTGCAGGGCTCTGTCGGCAGGGAGCACTCCACATGCGTAGCCCCAGACCCCTGGGAGCTGGCCAGGCCCAGTGAGAGGTGGCCGCTGGGGGGGGCGTGGTTCTGACCAAGAGGCTGGCCAGGCTGACAGCCAGCGCATGTGTGTGCCTGTTGCCGCCATGGCTCCCCCCAGGTGGCACAAGAGACCACGAGTGGCCTCAGTGGGCGGCTCAGCAGCCCCTGCCCCCACCCTTCCCAGCTGAGCCCCCCAGGAACAGAATCCTCTTTCATTGGCCCTGTGGGTGGTCCTGGCCCGGCAGCTGGGGGGCGCGGTGGGGAGGGAGGGGACCAGGCCTGCCGACAATAGGACCAGCTGTGCGTGCCTCCACCCCCGCTCTCACCCACCCAGGACAGGCTGGCCGACAGAAGCTCACCTCTGCTCCTGGCCAGTTCCGCTGCCCACCCCACCCAAAGCCCCCCCCACCCAAAGCCCCAGGGAGGCCCACCGCTGGCGGGAGCCCAAGCCTCGTGTGAGCTGCGGGCTGGGGGGAGCTGAACCGGCCAGATGTTTCAGGCGGCTCCTCCAGCTCCAGGCTGCCTCTGCTGCACCCCCGGCTGCTCCCCCAGGGAAGCAGGAAGCCCTGGACCGCTCCAGGGGCTGCCCTGCAGATGGGGAGAGAGGAGGCCCTGCCTGGCGTCGGGGGGTTCCTGGGGCTACCCCAACCTGGGTTTCTGCTGGCTTGCCCCATCCTGGCCTCCCTGCCGTCAACGAAAGCCCTGGGCTGGGGAGGGGGTGGCAAGCTGGCCTGGCGGGGCACTTGCCTCCTGCCCATCCTGGGCCACTGGAAGGATACGTGGGCAAGACCGACCGCCCAGGCAGCCCGCTGTGCCTGCTGGCGCCCCCCCTCCAGCCGAGTCGCGTGCCCCCCGCCCACCTCGCTCCCCTTCCCCCATGAACACACACGGCAGAGAAACAGGCCCTGCGCACGGGGAGCCAGCTGGCACCCTGTCAAACTAGCAGCCAGGCATGCTGCCCGGGCAGCCAGCCAGCCTCTCACCCTGGCCCGCCCGCCCTGGCCTCTGCCGCTCAGCTCACAGTGCGGCAGCTCCATGTGGTCTGTCGGGGAGCACGGCTGCGTGGCAGGGAACCCCTGCAGGGAGGGAAGGGGATCCCGGGGGGTGGGGCAACTGAACTGAAGGCAGCGCAGGGGACAGCAAGCCGGAGCAGAGGCCTCACAGGTGTGTGGCCTTGGAGGCTCTGCCACCCTCGGGGGCACCCACACCCGTCCTCAGCCCCGGGTGGGCCCCGCGTTCTGGGGCCCAGGCGGGCGGCTCAGAGGCTACGTCCTGCGTTCTCTTGTCCTGCCTCCACCTGTGCTGGTCCACCCAGTCCACTGTCCCGCACACATGCCCGCCCCAACCTGACACGGATGGCGGGAGATGCATCTCGCCCAGCCAGGGTGCCAGGTGCCCAGCAGGCTAGACAGGTGAACCTCCTCGGTGTGACACAGCCAGGGCCACTGTGGGTACAGTCCTCTCCTCCTGCTCAGGCCACCCCTGCCTGGAGGAGCTACTTCCCTGGGACGCAGACAGAAGGGGCTCAGAAACCCAGATGCCAGGGGCTCATGTTGACCCTTGTGGCAGGACACTGGTCTCCCACCCAGCCAGGGGGACTCCCAGGGGCTCGGGAGCAGATGGAACCCGCTGATGCTGGGCCCCACGTGAGGGGCTGAAAGGTGGTGGGGTCCCCGGGGTGGGATGTGGTCAGCTCCGCCCAGGCAGCCGTTGGCACTAGGGGAAGTGAGTGTCTAGAGGCCGTTGTGGGTGCTGTCTGCCTGTGGGCCACCGCACACCCACCCTCTGAGCAGCCCCCAGAGGGGCGGGACGGGGGCTCCAAGGCAGGTGGTGCTACCCACAAACGGCCCTCCTTGCTGCTGGGGTCCCCCAGGGTGGGCAGAGGGAGTGGAATAGGAGCTCTCTCCTGGTGCAGAGAACACTGGGGGTGGGTTCGTGCCGCTTCTGGGCCCTGACTAGGGGCCACCACTGCCAGGAGGGGAAACCAAGTCAGCGGTCCTAGGTGGATCTGTGCACCTGTGGCTGGGCCAGGGCCAGGCAGCGGCCGTTGCGTCTGTTGTGGGGGGGTTTACCACGGCTGCCGCAGGCGTCGCCTTCCTGCTCCCCCCATGCCAGGCCACCCTCCTCCCTCCCGAAGACATCCTGGGAGCCAGATGCTGTGGCTGGCGGGGGCGTTTGCCCACAGACACAGAAGGCTGAGGCGGGGTGGGGGGTATGAGCCAGGAAGGCGGGGCCCCCACAGCCAGCCCAGGAGCCATGGCCAGCCTGGTCTCCCCTCCAGGAGGCCGCTAGGAGTGCAGGGGTGGGAGGAAGGGGCAGGGGAGTCTGGGCAGGGGAGTCTGGACCGAGGACCCCATGCTGCCCACGGCATCCCAAGGTAGCGGCCTCCCCTGCACCCAGGAAGAGGCTGTTCCTTGTCGCCTGCCCAACATGTGCGCCCTGCGCCGAAAGCCCAGATTATTTCAGCAACTGCCCCTCACTCGTCACCTGTTCTGCTTGGAAAACAGCCCCTTTCTTGTTGCACAAAGAGAGGTTTCTCTGCTTCCAGCAGTGCCGGGTGCTAATCTCCCTGCCTGGAACGGGGCGGTGGCGTGGTGTGTGGGTCCGCAGCGCTCTGTAAACACGACGCCCGCCGCTCAGCAGTCATTGAGTTACGGCAGTGCCGGGTGCCAGGAGCAGAGAGCCCTGTGTGCCCGCTGCCAACTGCAATTACCTCTCTGCGTGCCAGCCGCAGGGGGCGGGGGGAGCTTAACCCTTCCCACACTGCAGGGTTGGGGTAGCCAAGGGAATACCAGCAACTGTGGGCCCAGGGACATAGGGGCCCAGGGCCGCCGCCTAGGCTGCAGGGCAAGGGGTCTGAGCAAGCAAGGGGATCCGGGCAGGGGTGCCCTGCCAGGGAAAGGCCAGGGGGGCCTCCAGGGGCCTCCTGCTGGCCAGGCAGCCTGAGAGTAGCCAGTATTCGTGAGGTGCCTACTGTGTGCCCAGGGCTGTGTCCCATGGGGAGGCAGGTGGCCTGGGAGGAACTCTTTGTCCTGGGCCAGGCCCCACGGTGGCAGCCTGTGTGCACTGACAGCTCTCCCCGCCCCCTCCCCTCCCCGCTGGCAGATCCGGAGCCCACCTCCTAGCATCTGGGGAAGTGGGGCGCGGCCACTGTGAGGGTGAGCCCAGCCCGGCCGGCCCAGCTGTACTCCACATTTTCTCAGCTCCCCAGAGCCCCTCCTGGCTCCCCCGTTCCCCCTTGCTGCCCATCTGGAGCACACATCTGGTCAGGACCACTGCCGAACAGGCCGCCCTTGTTTCCAACCAATCACCACTTCCCCCAGGGCTTCCTAGGCAGGGAGGCAGCCTCACCAGAGCCTGCTTGTCGACGTCCACCGGCCAGGTTCCCACTGCCCTCGTGGGAGCCCCTCACCTGCCCCTGGCCCAGGCACCAGGGTCAGTCTCTTGGCCACCAGGGCGTCGCCGAGAGCCCAGTCTGCCAGCTTACCTTCGTGGGAGTGGGAGAACCAGATCTGGGAGGTGGCGGGGTGGGAGCCACGGTAGGCCTGCTCAGAGGGGGAGGAGCTGGGGCCGCTGGGGTGCGTGGAGGCTGCCGAGCCCAGGCTGCTGGAGAGGAAACTGCCCATGAAAGAGGAGGCCGGAGAACTTCCCATCAGGCGGCTGCTGGCTGTGGACACAGGGCAAGAGTGAGTCTGGGGGCAGCTCCCAGGGTGTGGCCTGAGGCAGGGCAGGGGCAACAGCCCAGCCCTTCTTCATGGGGGACCCTCAGGCCCCCATCGCCCCTGGAGTCTTTGTCTTTCAATATCCAAGAAACCGATGATGGGAAAGGCTACCCACATAGGCCTTTGACAGCCACACTCAGAGTCCTGAGTCTTTTGGTGCCTCAGGTGTCCCGGTACTGACACCCTCCTGCTGGTGCAAAACCCAAGAATGTCATCTTTGTTACAACCACATCACCACCACCAGCCACATCACCTACCACTATCACCCCCAACCACATCACCCACCCCTATCACCCCCAACCACATCATCCACCACTATCACCCCCAACCACATCATCCACCACTATCACCCCCAACCACATCACTACCACCTCACCCACCACCACCAACCACATCATCACCACCACCCCAACCGCATCACCATCAGAACACACCAACCACGTTACCACCAACCACATTACCACTAACCACATCATCATCACCAACCACATCACCTCCACCACCGTGCCCCCAAACACATTACCACTACCATTACCACCAACCGCATCACCCACCACCAGCACAACCAACCACATCATCCACCACCATCACCAACCACATTCAATGACAACCACATCACCATCACCATCACCAATCAATTACCACCACCAACAACCATATCGCCATCAATAACCAATCACCATCAATAACCACATCACTCACCACCACCATCATCGTCACCACCACTACCACCCAGGTGCTGGGTACTGTGCCAAATCAACTTTCATGGCCTGTGGATAGGCCTCCTCTTCACAGGGAGAGCACCCTGACTCTCCCAGCCCACAGTGGTGGGCAGTTCCAAGGCCCCTTAGACACTGGCGAACTTGCTAAAAAAGGCCAAGGTGACACATGAGGCACCAGGGTCAGCGGGGCCCCAGCCATAGGCCATGTGTCAGCTCCACGGGCCCCGCAGTCTCGGCCCCTCCGGGCAGCACTGGGAGGAGCTGTTCTCTCTCCTGAGTGGGGTCTTCATCCCTCTACCCAGACCCAATAAACTGACTTGTCAGACAGAGAAATGCCCCAGTCCCAGGTGAGCGGAGAGAGAAACTGAGCCAGCTGGAAGACCGAGGGTGGGGGACAGAGGAAGGAAGGGCAGTGCTGGGGACAGATCTGCTTCTAAAATCCCTTCAGGGTTCCTAGGGCTGGGCCCCAACTGGGCTGGCACAGAGCTGCGAATGGCGCTCACCTCTGGGTCAGGTGGAGGCAGCGAGAGGCTCCTTCCTGGGTACTGCCAGGATACCCTGCACTTCCTCTGGCAGCCTGAGTGTGGGAAATGGTGAGCCCCCAGGACCCCAGGCCCCGTCCAGCCCAGCCCTCCCGGCCCATTGACCCGCCTGCATGCTCGCTTGTGGCCCATTGGCCGTGGCCCCGTCTGCCCAAGTCCAGTGGCCGAGGCCAGCCCGAGGGAGCCTCCCAGGGTTGCCGTGACTACCAGCTCCTGCACACGGAGGCCAGCACACACGGATTTCTGCACACGGTGGCCCTGCTGCTCCGCGGGTGGTCTGAGGCTGTCACTGAGCGGCCCCCACCCCAGCCAGGCACCCTGGCACCTTGTCATCTCCATTCCACGGGCGGCAAGCCTGGCCTGGGACCATCCCAGGAACCCAGGGCGGGGGCACTGCCCCCTCAGGAAAGAGGGGTATGAGGCTGAGTGTGGGGACAGTGGGGGTCTGCAGGGGCCCAGCCCGAGGTGAGTCAGGACAGCCGCCCCCCTGCCCGGGAGGCAGGGGGAATTTGTGAATTTCTGATGCCTCATCCAGCCTGGCTTGGCCCTGGGAACTTCCCAGACATGAGGTGACTCAGCAGAGGCGGCGGGGCCAGGGGGGCGGCGGGGGCTGCCCTGCAGGGCCCTGGCAGGGTCCTGCTGTGCTGAGCCAGTTCCCAGCCCAGGGCCCCCAAGGCCCCTTCCCCTCTCGTGTGTGAACGCAGCCACGTGGACTCAAGGGGCCTCTCCCGGTCGTGGCAGCAGAGGAGGGGTCTGTGAGTGCTGGTGGGGGACGTGGGGTGTGAGCTGGCCTCTGCGGCGGGTGGGCGGATGGAGAGGAAGAGCCGGCCCAAGGGACTGAGGAGCAGGCCCAGGTCCAGGCCCAGGGCAGGGGGCGAAGGTGCCCGCGAGCCAGGGGCTTCCCGGACCACAGGGCTGGGACTGCCATGGGCCAGGGCCAGACCACAGGCCCGGCGGCCAGGGAGGCGACTCTGGGTTGGGAAGGGAAGTGCTGGCTTCCCCTGCTTGGGGACACTGGGGCATGCCTGTGGGGTGAGTGTGGGCTCCCCTCGGAGTTGGAAGCTTGCCGCTGCCTCGCCCAGGCCCGCCTCGAGTCCCCCAGGCCTTCCCACCCCCACACCCTCCTGGGGAAGTCCCTCCCGCCTCTTCCTCCCTGGGATGGTGGGAAGCAACTAAGTCCAAAAGTTGGGTCTGGAGAAGGGATTTCTCCAGGATCCTGGCCTGAGAACCCCGTACCTTGAGCTCTCCCACACCATGTCAGGCGGGGGCGGGACACACCCCGGTGTCCCACGGGGCCCTCAGTAGGCAACCAGCCTGTCTCCAGACTTGGGGGACCCTGCTGTGCTGCCTTATCTGAGCCCACTAAGGAAGGGTCCCCAGCCCCAGAATCTGGGGAATGAGAGGGAAGCCGATGGGGGCTCCAGCCTAGACCCTCCCTGCACCTGACCAGCCTCACCAAGCTGGGGGCCCCTGACTCTGTGCCCAGAGTCAGGCAGGGCCGCTGACATGGGGGTCTCTTTCACCTCTTTTCCCTTTCATTCTGGAAACGGGCCAGCTGGATTGCTGTCTCCTTGTCATACAAACATCATGTCTTTGTATTTTCACCATAATAAGCTCAGGTAATAAAGCACAAGAGAGGCCAGACACGGTGGCTCACACCTATAATCCCAGCACTTTGGAAGGCCAAGGTGGTGGATCACTTGAGGTCAGGAGTTCAAGATCACCCTGACCAACATGGTGAAACCCCGTCTCCACAAAAATGCAGAAATTATCTGGACATGGTGGTGCGCGCCTGTAATCCCAGCTATTCGGGAGGTTGAGGGTGGGAGAATCACTTCAATCTGGGAGGCGAGGGTTGCAGTGAGCCGAGATTGTTCCACTGCCCTCCAGCCTGGATGACAGAGTGGGACTCCGCCTCCAAGAAAAAAAAAATCACGAGAGAGGAAGCCGAGTCACCCAAGACCCCTGCCCCGAAGCCCTCGCGTGAGCATTCTAGGACCACTGTGCGCACAGCGGCATACATACTTCTCCGGGATCACACGGGGTCGCATGCTGCACCCCAATTCCATGCCCGGGCATCCTGGGTACTGAGCCTATCATGAGAGGCCTACCATCCCCCACAAGGGACTGGGGTGGCCTCTTTTGCTTCTGGAAATCCTGACTCGGGCGGCAGCTGCTGCCAGGGGTCCTCGCTGGCGGCTCAGCAGGCCAGCACCTCGGAGACGGGACCAGGCAGGGGAGGAGCCTCTGCCCGGCATCCCCGTTGCCCCAAGAGCACGAGCCCTACACATGGCTGGGGGCTCAGATGCTTACTCTAAAGGGAGGATTTCTCCCCCATGGCCCAGGCCTTGGCTTGAAACTTGGAAGCAGATTCTGCAGGCCCTGCCAGGTGGTCACTACTGTGGTGACCCCCGTGAGTGTGGGGGATGGGACTGCTGGCCACCTGAGGCCTTCCCTATTCCACCCAGCTCCTGAGGAGTCCAGGAAACCCCAGGACAGAGCATCACACCTCTACTGTCACCCCCACCTCCACGTGTTTGGGGATGGCACTGTGACTGGCCGGCAGAGCCACAGGCAGACCAGGCTGCCACCTCCCCAGCCCCCGCCTGCCGACCAGTGGCCAACCCCAGACAGAGCCTGGGCCTCAGCTGCCTGGGAGCCGAGTGTAGCCTGGGCTCCAGCCAGGGCCAGACCGCGTGGGACAAGGTCAGCCAGGAACTGGGCTGAGGGTTCTTTCCTCTTGGCAAAGTCCCTGTCTACCAAGTGCTGTGGTTACCAGCCCAGGAGGAGGCAGCTGGGGGCCGGTCTTGACCTAGGCCTCCTCAGGCCAAGTGCCCCATCCTGGCACTGCCTGCAGTGGCACCTTCCTCGCCTGGGGCTTTAGACTCATGTGACCTAGTGCCACCATGCTCCCAAGGTCAGTTGTGGGCCCGCCATGGGGCTGGTAAGAGATGGAGCATGACCGAGTCCAAGTTGCTGGTCCAGGCCCATAGCCCCAAGTGCTCTGCTGGGGGCTGAACATGGCCTGTCCCCACCTGCGTGCACGGTCAGGGTGCCCTGGCCCCGCACAGAGCCTGCCTGGGGCCGCTCTGCCAGGCTTCCCATCAGCTCTCATCACAGAGATGCAGCACAAGTTTGGATGTTCCTGGGGAAGGGACCAGGAAGCTGGATGCGGTGTCAGCGGGGCCACCGAGGACTGCACATTGGCGTCCAGCTGGCTGCCCCCACTGCCCAGCCAGCCCAGGCCGGGTTTGCAACTCTAGATCTGGACTAGGCTCTGGCCCCAGCTCCAGGGCCACCTCAGCTCTGCCCAAGATGCTGCAGAGGCCTGGTTTGGACGCCCGGCTAGCTGAGGAAACAGTTTCGGGAGACAGCAATGCCCAGAGGGCTGTGGCCACCCCCAGGTGGCTCAGGTCTTCGGGCACAGCCCCATCCCTGGGAGGCCGGTCTGACCTGGCGCCCAAGGTCCAGCCAACTAGACAGGGAGGCAGGCTGTGCCTGAACCTGCTGTCCCAGGGCGGCCCAGCAGCGGGAGGACTGGGGAACAGCTGCACAACAGCTGGGCTGGAGTCTCGATGCCCACTGAGCCCGGCCCCGGCCCAGGGCTGCTGTATGAGGAGGCTGGCACAAAATAGGTGAGAGCTGGCCACATGGGCTTGCAGCAGAGGTGGCCCTAAGTGGCCAGGACGCCGATGGGAGCTGGCCTACCTCCTGCCAACCTGTCTGCCAGGCTCCCTGCCATGGATGGCCAAGAAAGGGAGCACATGCTGGGCAGTCCGAGGGGCACAGAGCATGCTGGGGCCCTGGAGCCCAGGACTCCCCGGCGAGCCACTCCCTCCGTAAGGGTCGGTCCAGCAGCCCCCATCCAGGGTTCCCGAGGACCCACACACCAGAGGCTGGGCCTGGGCAACCGGATGGCCAGGTGCCCACTGTGCCCCACCCCACTCTCCTGCCAGGCTGACCCTGCTCTGCCTGTGGCACCAGACTGAAGACAGACGGAACAAGAGGACGGCAGGGCCTGGGAGCTGGGAGAGGCGGGCGCGGAGCCGGCAGAACGAGCATTTGTTTTGAGTTAAGTGAGCCGCCGAGACAGCCTCCTTTTCTGGAAACTGTGAAATGGGTTGTAAAAAAAAAAAAAAAAGCCTCGCTGAGATGGCGGCAGCTCCAGAGAAGGAGCGAGGCCCTTCCCAGGCTCCCGGCTCCCGCTGTTTCCGGAAGCCCAGCTGCCGGGCTGCTGGCATGGGCCTCCCCAGCTCCGAGTCTGGCGGCTGCACCCGCCGCCTGCGCCAGCTCCCACCCCCGACCCACACCCGCTCAGGCTCCCCTCTTCCCTCAGCACTGGCTTCCGCTCCACACCTTCCCCGCCCCCGACAGGGCCCGCCCAGGCGGGGGACACCAGGCTCCCCTGGGGCTGTCCCTTGGTCTCCCCCAAGACACCAGGAGTGGCTGGGAATGGAGTGATGGGCGGTCTCAAGCACCCTTCCCACGAGCCAGGCTCCCAAGGGAGCTGCGCAGGAGGGGAGGGGAGGCAGGAAGGAGGAGCAGCCCCGCTGCTGGCCCTGCCCCACATTCCTCATTCCGGGAAAGGCGGGGGAGGAAGCCACACTGCACAGGTTCCTGGTGGATGCAGAGGGGAGGTGCAGCCTGCTTGGAGGCAGGGGTGTAGCATCTGACCATTTGGCTGCCAAGGAAGAGGAGTGAGGGACAGGGGTGGGGAGACCAGGCCCTGCCTTGGGGTGAGAGGCCACTCTGGGACCGCCACCCACACCAGGAGACCAGAAGCTGCTGTGGCAGGGGCTAGAGGCCCAGCCACATGCCACCCCAGGTGTGCAGATGTGGCTAGGAGACAGGCAGGTGCACGCTGGCTGTGCAGGTGTTTGCAGGCTCAACCCCCAGATACAACCCAGTGATGCTTCCCCCACCCTGGCTGCAATCACTAGTGGCCCAAACTGGAGAAGACGTGGGGTGCACCTCACACTTGTGCACGCTCACACTTGTGCACCCCACACTTGTGCACGCTCACACCTGCACGGAGGCAGGGCAGGGAGTGT